AAGAGAATAGAATTCATAAAGAAGACTGAATGGGTCCTTCCTCACATTGTACGACAAAAGCCAATTTCTGGAGTCCTCACATTCTATACTGATGCAAATAAATCAGGGAAAGCAGGATATAAATCAGGAGACTTAAGTAAAGTGGAACAAAGTCCATACAGCTCTGTACAAAAGGCAGAACTGTATGCCATTCTTATGGTACTGATGGACTTCACAGAACCCCTCAATATAGTCACTGACTCTCAATATGCAGAGAGAGTTGTTTTACATATTGAAACTGCTGAATTTATTCCTGATAATACAGAATTAACTTCATTATTCATACAATTGCAGGAAATCATCAGAAAAAGGGAACATCCTATATATATAACACATATCAGATCCCATACAGGTCTGCCAGGACCTCTAGCACAAGGTAATGATGAGATTGATCAGTTACTAATAGGTAATGTGCTAGAAGCTTCAGAATTTCATAAGAAATGCCATGTAAATAGCAAAGGTTTGAAGAAGGATTTCTCCATCACTTGGCAACAGGCTAAGGATATTGTGAAAAAATGTCCTACTTGTTCCATCTATAACCAACTTCCATTACCTGCAGGGAGCAATCCAAAAGGTATACAAAGAAATGAAATTTGGCAGATGGATGTGTTTCATTTTGCAGAATTTGGAAGATTAAAGTATGTACATCATACCATTGACACCTATTCAGGATTTCAGTGGGCAACTCCTATGAGTTCTGAAAAGGCTGATTCTGTGATTACACACCTATTAGAAGTTATGGCCATCATGGGAATACCTGTACAAATTAAGACAGACAATGCCCCAGCATATGTCTCCAATAAAATGAGACAATTCTTTGCCTATTACAATATAAAGCATGTTACAGGTATACCACACAATCCCACAGGCCAAGCAGTCATAGAAAGATCCAATCGAACTTTAAAAGATATGCTAAATAAACAGCAACGGGTAACAATGACTCCTAGAAATAGATTGCATAGTGCTTTATTAACCTTGAATTTTCTCAATGCTGATGAGAAAGGAACAACAGCTGCAGAGAGACATTGGACGACAGACAAAACTCCTGAGCTAAACCAACCAGTTTATTTCAAGGATGTGCTGACCTCAGAATGGAAACCTGGATATGTTCTACGTTGGGGAAGGGGTTTTGCCTTTGTTTCTGCAGGAGAAGAAAAGCTATGGATACCAACAAAATTAATAAAAATTCGATTCGAACAGGAAAATCCCCTTGATGAGGAGAAGTAAAAAATCATCCACCAATGTGACATCTCTACAAGTTGTAAGAAAAATTTAACAATCAAAGGTTGGGGTAGGGTTCTGTTTTTGTCTTTCCAGGATGATGGAAATACCCATCTTACAGAAGTCATAAGGCCTTGGATATCCGGATGTTTACAGCAGAAAGAAAGAATCTATTGGTACCAATCTACACACGGTAAAATCTCACTGTCTAATATCTATCTCTCTATCAATCTAGAAAAGCTGTGGTTCCAATTCAATTATAAGCCAAGCTGACTTTGGAGATGGAATTGGCTCCCTCCTTCTCTAAACCCAAGCATATTGCTAAAAGGAAGTTTGAGAGATTCTTCAGTCCCATATCTGAAGAGCCCTCTGGTGTGGGACAGAAGGAAACCAATAAAAAAGGACCATTGTCTTCTAGAGTCTAACTCTCTCCATGCTTACTCTTGATTTCTCAGAATCCTTTCTTACATGCTATGTCCTCTTTAAATCCAAACCTTCCATTTTGATAACAAATAAGTTTTTCTAATAGCAATCTCAGAAGTCTCCAGAAGGAAGACGGGGCCCCGACAACAACTCTACCCAATCCAGAATGATGCCATGGTAATCATCATCATACGACACTTCTTACCAGAATTTCAGACAATCTTACCCATTACTCTAAGACTTGCTGCAGAACCTACAGTTAGTCTAACTGAGATTTAACTATCTGAGCTTTCTCACAGTACCCAACAGAGATAACATCACCCCCTAAACAGCAGGAACTAATTCTAAGAAAACGACGCCCCTTCTCCCTTAGGTTTCATAATTCTCAGGGTTATGGATGATGGTTATAGGGTTGGGGGTGGAAGGAAATATTAAACTCAGTATTCTAAAAAAAAAAAAAAAAAAATGAAAAGAAGAAATGGAATGGATAGGTATAAGGTATTATGGTAGATTATTATGTATACTAGTAAACAAATTTAGTAAAATAGCAGCCTTAAATAATTTGCACTGTAATTTGCACTGTTATGGATTCTTATATGTTGATACAAATGTAAACTATTTTTATATTCCTGTCTAAGATAATTTGTATATTGATACAAATACAGAACTATATTTGTTATAATGTACATATATTTCTACTCTTATTTGAAATACTTGTATATTGATACAAATGTAAATTTATATCTGTCATACTTTATGTAGGTTCTACTTCTGTTTAGGATATTCGGTATATTGATATGTATTTAAGATTATTGTCATATTGCATATCACACTACATACTCCTACCTCTGTTATAAATATCGATATATAATTAAGATTATTGTCATATTGCATATTGCACTATATACTCCTACCTCTGTTATAACATCTTGTGTATTGTCACAATTTTGAAGTCATCGTTCTTTACCATACACTTGCTTATAGACTGTTTACCTTGTTTACGTGAAGCCTTAGTCCTTAGGTTATTTCGGTAGATAAGACTTATAGATTTATAGTCACCTATGCTTGTCATCTCTATAGTTACGTTAGTTAGGTTATCCAGATTTACAGATACATAGGTCAGATGGACAGGTAATCTTCAAACACTTCATAGACCTAGAGAATATGGCATTTAAATAACTTAGAATTCTGTTGATGTGAGACATAATTGCTCCTGGCTGCACCAATTTGATCCCGAGAGAATGTTGGGCTTCTAAGACATTTCCATTTGGAAGTTTGTCTTCTTGGCACAAAATGGCCTACTGGGCAAAGAACTGCCCTTGCCTCGACGGCTGACAGTACTAATGCAATGCTATCCTTTCTGGACAAGCGGGACACAAGGAAAGCGACCACTGTACTCTGCCAAGACAGGGTAAGATGGTCTTTCAGAATTCCTGCTTCTGAAAATGGTCTGTCAGATACTTTAGGCCTGTAGCCAATTTGAATGCACCAACAATGCTGAGAAACATTAGGTGACTGTCCAGGCTGCCAGCTGTCTCCGTCTACTCTCGCAAGATTCCCAAAAGTTGCTTGCATCCATCTACCATTTCTCAGGTACCATTATATTCCTTCTCAGGTCTTTGATGGGATTGAAGACTAGCAGTTATAGTTACAACCTAGTAGATAGAACATATTAAGTATTAGATTCAGGTTCTTTAGGATAGGACACCTTTTGGAATGATCTTTGTAACATGCCATTTACCTATGCTCTATACTTCTCTGGATAATAGTATGTGTTTCTTGCTTGATATTGTTTGCATTGGTTGTAGTTCCATCTTATCTAGGTCATTATCCCTCATTATTCCTGGACTATATTTGATAACCATTCCTTTGTATATAGTCTTGTATTAGGTTAGAACTTTCTTATTTAGACAAAAAGGGGGAGATGTAGTGGGTAGCCATTCCAGCTTTGATCTGTAAGTTCCAACCCCCATTGAGACTTCGGCAACTGTCACGCCTACAAGGCGGGGCGAAAGGAGGCGCCTGGGGACCCGAGATCTGGATCGGCTGGCGCTCTCTCTGTTGCGGGACCCTGGACTAGAGAGGTGGACCAAGCAGAGCTCCAGAGAACACCGCTGGACTGCGATACACCTTCCCCAGACTCCGCGACCTACCTATCCCTTAATTTGTAAGTTACGCCATTAAATAAATCTCCTTTTATCTACGTGGAGTGGCCTTAATAATTTCATCAATACTCACTAACAGGAGTTACTATGCAGACAAATTTGAAATCCTCTAATACTATAAACATGGCATATAAACCATTCATATCTTTAATATGAAGACTAAAAAGAACAGGACAAGGTCTGGTGATGAAAGACCCCACTTATAGCAAGCTTTTACTTAGCCTAAGAAACGCCATTCTGCAAGGCAGGGAAAACAGGAAGTTCATGACTGTGGCTGGCCACCTGGCCTTGGGAAAGAGAGCTGTGGTCGGCCACCCAGCCTTGGGAGAAAAACCGTTGAGTCAAAATAAGACATCTGTGGTTAGCTACCCGACCTTGGGGAATAAACAGTTGGGCTGGGAAAACACCCACAAGGCCAAGTCAACCACACACATCAAATTTCCGAGAAGTTTAAGAGTTCACCCTGACCTCAATTGAATCCACCAATGGGAACCCTGTAACTATGCCTCTCGCTTCTGTAACCGCGCTTCTGCTCCTGGAAACCTATAAAAAGTCCCCCTTACCCTAGGAGGGCGCGCAAGTCTTCTGAGAGACTTTGTCGCCCCAGGTACCTGTGTATCTGAATAAATCCTCTTGCTGTTTGCATCTGATCCGTGGTTTCAGCGTGTTCCTTGGGGTTGGGGTCTCTCCTGAGGGAAGATCTCCTCCGGGGGTCTTTCATTGGAGGTTCCACCGAGATCAGAGACCCCTCCCTGGGACCGACCCACCGTCAGGAGGTAAGCCGGCCGGCCTCAGTATATGTCATCCCTGTCCTAAGTGAGTATTGTTTGTCTGTCTGCGCGCATCTGGTGATCTGTCTGTGGCGGTGGGGACTGAAGGAGTTGACGAGCTCGGACTTCGCCCACCGTAACCCTGGAAGACATTCCACGGGTGTCTGAAGTCCCCTCAGGGGCACGGTTTTTCGGGGCCACTCACGTATCCGAGGGATACGTGGTGTTGGTCGGAGACGAGGGGTCCGGACCCTCACAGCAGTCTCCTTCTGAGTTTTTGCTTTCGGTTTGGAACCGAAGCCGCACAGCGCGTGTTAGTCTTATTTCTGTTTGTCTGTTGTTCTTCATTTCCTGTTTAACCGTTCTTCTCCTAGAAACAGCCATGGGACAGACTGTCACCACCCCCTTGAGCCTCACGCTTGACCACTGGTCAGACGTGAAGGCACGAGCCAACAACGAGGGAGTTGTAATCAAGAAGAATAAATGGATCACCCTTTGCGAGGCCGAATGGGTCATGATGGATGTAGGATGGCCTCGCGAGGGAACTTTTAACCTCAGTCTTATTTCACAGGTGGAAGGAAAAGTTTTTGCTCCGAGCCCCCATGGCCACCCGGATCAGGTCCCATGCATCGCCATATGGAGACTATTGGCAACCGAACCTCCCCCATGGGTTAGGCCATTCCTCTCCCCTCCAGTGCCCCAGGCTTCCCCCTCCACGGCACCGCCGCCCCCCCTCGCCCTTCCTACCTCCTCCCTTTATCCCGTTCTCCCACGGAAGGATCCCCCTAAGACCCCTGTCCTTCCCCCGGACCCCAATTCACCTCTTATTGACCTCCTGACAGAGGAGCCACCTCCATACCCAGGGAATCGGGCACCAGAGGGACCGGCGGCCCCCGCGGCGGCCTCAGAACCACCGGTGGCCTCCTCCCCGGAGCGGGAGGATGAGACGCCGGCTTCCTCGCCGGCCTCCTCCCCACTTGCTGATGAGGCTCCAGCCCCCTCCCCAATTGCCGGTCGCCTCCGAGGAAGGCGCGACGAACCAGCCAAGGAATCCAAGGCCTTCCCCCTCCGGGAGGGTCCCAATCACCAGCTCCAATACTGGCCATTCTCAGCCTCCGACCTTTACAACTGGAAGCAGCATAATCCTCCTTTCTCCAAGGACCCTGTTGCCCTGACTAACCTGATTGAGTCCATTTTAGTGACCCACCGGCCTATGTGGGACGATTGTCAGCAGCTGTTGCAGACCCTCCTGACAGTGGAGGAAAAGCAGCGAGTCTTCTTGGAGGCTCGGAAGCAGGTTCCTGGAGAAGATGGAAGACCCACCCAATTGCCTAATGTCATTGATGCAGCTTTTCCCCTCACCCGCCCGAACTGGGACTTCATGACCCCAGAAGGTAGGGAGCACCTACGTCTCTATCGCCAGTTGCTCTTAGCGGGTCTCCGGGGGGCTGCAAGACGCCCTACCAATTTGGCTCAGGTTAGAAATGTGATCCAGGGAAAGGACGAGACACCGGCAGCATTCTTATAAAGACTCAGGGAGGCCTATAAGATGTACACCCCATATGATCCGGAAGATCCAGGACAGGCGCCAGGCGTCATTTTGTCTTTTACCTATCAGTCAAGTTCAGATATAAGGGCCAAGTTACAGAGACTAGAGGGATTGCAGTCGTGCAGTTTGTCAGATTTATTAAAAGAGGCAGAGAAAGTGTTTAATAAGAGAGAAACTCCCGAAGAGCGGGAAGAGAGGATGTGGCAGAAACAGGAAGAAAGGGACAAGAGACGTCATAGAGAAATAAGTAAAGTCCTGGCCGCTGTAGTGTCTCAGGGACAGGGCAGAGAGAGAGTTAGGATGGGAGATCAAAGAAGGATACCGCTTGATAAAGACCAATGTGCTTACTGCAAAGAGAGAGGACATTGGGCTCGTGATTGCCCAAGGAAACCTCAAGGGCCTTGGAGAACTAAGTCAAGGGCCACGGATCTCCTCAATCTGGAGGATTAGGGAAGTCAAGGCCAGGAGCCCCCCCCCCCCCGAGCCTAGGATAACTCTCAAGATTGGGGGGCAGCCAGTGACCTTCCTAGTGGACACCGGGGCCCAACATTCAGTCCTGACTCAGACCGGAGGCTCTCTCAGTGACCGCACAGCTTTGGTCCAGGGGGCCACGGGTAGCAGGAGATATCGATGGACCACTGAAAGGAAAGTTCAGCTGGCATCTGGACAGGTAACCCACTCTTTTTTGCATATACCCGATTGCCCTCACCCATTATTGGGCCGAGACCTGACTAAGCTCAAGGCTCAGATTTATTTTGATGACAAGGGAACGACCGTTACGGGACCCAAAGGAACCCCCCTACAAGTCCTAGCCCTAAAATTGGAAGAGGAATATCATCTGTTTGAATCAGAGCCCTCTAAGGGGCCACCACAAGAGATGCAGGACTGGTTGAGAGAATTTCCCTTGACCTGGGCCGAGACTGGCGGCTTGGGGCTAGCTTACGACCAGCCCCCACTTGTTACGTGGTAACCAAGAAACTCCTGGATGACATTTTTCCCAGGTATGGAATGCCCCAGATATTGGGGTCAGACAATGGGCCCGCTTTCGTCTCCCAGGTAAGTCAGAAGGTGGCCAGGCTATTGGGGATCAATTGGAAACTCCATTGTGCATACTGCCCCCAGAGCTCAGGACAGGTAGAACACATGAATAGAACCATTAAGGAGACTTTAACCAAATTAACGCTTGCAACTGGCACTAGAGATTGGGTGCTCCTACTCCCACTAGCCCTCTACCGAGCCCGGAATACTCCTGGGCCTCATGGCCTAACCCCATTTGAGATTCTATATGGGGCTCCCCCACCAATTGTAAATTTCCTCCACCCTGATATCTCCTCTTTTGCCACTAGCCCAACCCTGGAGGCGCACCTCCAAGCCCTCCAATTGGTACAGAAGACGGTGTGGAAACCCCTGGCTGATGCCTACCGGGAGCAACTGAACCGCCCGGTGGTGCCTCACCCATTCGAGATTGGGGACTCTGTCTGGGTTCGACGCCATCAATCCAAGAACCTAGAGCCGAGATGGAAGGGACCGTACACCGTCTTGTTAACAACTCCCACCGCACTTAAGGTTGACAGGATAGCGACTTGGGTCCACACGTCACATGTGAAAGCCGCCAAAGAACCCAACGAAGCAGAGAACACCGAGATGTCTACATGGAAGGTTCAACGCTCTCCAAACCCACTAAAGATAAGACTCACCCGTGGGCCCCCTTAATCCCCCTAGTAGTCCTCCTGACATTAGGAGGGGCGTCACCAGAGAGCCCCCACCTGGTTAAGAAAATTACCTGGCAGGTCATTTCCCAAACTGGGGACGTAGTCTGGTCCACGACCGCTCAACACGCTCCTAACACATGGTGGCCCTTCTTGACTCCCAAGATATGTGACCTAGTCGCTAGGCTGGATACCTGGGATATCCCTGAGTACACCCACACCAATAGGCCCTCTGTCCTAGATGCAGACCACAATAATGTTATGTCTCCGAAAAAGCGGGATGTACAGACTGCCAAAGGACAATACATAGCCGACTCGCCTGGCTGCCGAATACAGTCAGCCTATAGGAAGCTGCAACAGACTCAGCTATATGTATGCCCTAGGGACGGAAGGGACTGGGATACGACTTACAAATGTGGGGGACTAGAATCTTTTTTTTGTGCAAAATGGGGATGTGAAACAACCGGGGACGCGTACTGGAAGCCTAGTTCCAGTTGGGATCTCATCAGGGTGGGACGAGGTCAGAAGGGAGAAGATTCACTAAACATTTCCTTCACCCCGAAGGGCACAAAGTTCTCTTCATGGACCAATGGGCGATCTTGGGGAGTTAGGTTCTATATGACGGGAACAGACAGGGGATTCACCTTCCAAGTAAAACAAAAGATAGAATCAATCAATATTCCTGTGGGCCCCAACCCTGTTCTCCCAGAACAGAGGCCACCGTCGCAACCTGAAAGAGCCCCAGCCCAGGTCCCCCACCAATCTATTACATTGCCCCCTACAGCTAGCATGGCCACCGCTGCTTCCCCTGTAAGACCTGGCACTGGAGATAGACTCCTGAAGTTAATCCAAGGGGCATATCTAACCCTCAACCTCACTGCCCCAAACAAAACCAGAAGCTGTTGGCTTTGTCTAATTTCAAGTCCCCCTTATTACGAAGGAGTTGCTGTTGTGGGGAATTTCACTAACCACACTTCCCCCTCCACAGAATGTACCCGCACCCCCCAACATAGGTTGACCCTATCTGAAGTTGCGGGACAGGGGTTATGCATAGGAAAGGTGCCCAAGTCTCACCAGTTCCTGTGCAATACCACCCAACAGATGGTCGGGGGCTCCTATTACCTGGAGGCCCCCAATGGAACCTACTGGGCCTGCAGCACCAGGTTGACTCCATGTATTTCAATGACCATACTTGATTTGACCTCTGATTATTGTATATTGATAGAATTATGGCCTAAAATTATTTATCATACCCCCGAATATGTATTCACCCATTATGAGGAGCGGCACAGGTTCCCTCGAGAACCAGTATCAATGACTGTGGCCTTACTGCTGGGGGGATTGACTGTCGGGGGCATGGCCGCAGGCATAGGAACTGGGACTGCAGCCCTCATGGAGACCAGTCAATTTAGACAACTTCAGGCAGCCATGCATACTGATATCCAGGCCCTAGAGGAATCTATAAGTGCCCTAGAAAAATCCCTTACATCTCTATCTGAGGTTGTTCTACAGAACAGGAGAGGGTTAGACATCCTCTTCCTACAAGAAGGTGGCCTATGTGTGGCCCTCAAAGAAGAATGTTGCTTCTATGCAGATCATACTGGAGTTGTCAGGGATAACATGGCTAAATTGAGAGAGAGATTGAAACAGAGACAACAACTATTTGAGTCGCAACAGGGATGGTTTGAAGGATGGTTCCAAAGGTCACCCTGGTTCACCACCCTTGTCTCCACCATTATGGACCCCCTAATCATCCTCCTGCTCATTTTAATATTTGGGCCATGCATCTTCAATAGATTGGTCCAATTCGTCAAGGACAGGGTTTCTGTTGTCCAGGCTTTGGTCTTGACCCAACAATATCAGAGGCTAAGACAGTCAGAGATGGAGATGACCCCTTATTCTCCATCCTAAAATGAAAGATTCCATTTTGGGCCCACAAGAAAATGGGGGAATGAAAGACCCCACTTATAGCAAGCTTTTACTTAGCCTAAGAAACGCCATTCTGCAAGGCAGGGAAAACAGGAAGTTCATGACTGTGGCTGGCCACCTGGCCTTGGGAAAGAGAGCTGTGGTCGGCCACCCAGCCTTGGGAGAAAAACCGTTGAGTCAAAATAAGACATCTGTGGTTAGCTACCCGACCTTGGGGAATAAACAGTTGGGCTGGGAAAACACCCACAAGGCCAAGTCAACCACACACATCAAATTTCCGAGAAGTTTAAGAGTTCACCCTGACCTCAATTGAATCCACCAATGGGAACCCTGTAACTATGCCTCTCGCTTCTGTAACCGCGCTTCTGCTCTTGGAAACCTATAAAAAGTCCCCCTTACCCTAGGAGGGCGCGCAAGTCTTCTGAGAGACTTTGTCGCCCCAGGTACCTGTGTATCTGAATAAATCCTCTTGCTGTTTGCATCTGATCCGTGGTTTCAGCGTGTTCCTTGGGGTTGGGGTCTCTCCTGAGGGAAGATCTCCTCTGGGGGTCTTTCAGTGAGATGACTCAGCAGGTCAAGTGCTTGCCACCCTGCCTGACAATGTGAGTTCAATTCCTGGGACTCACAAGGTGGAAGGAGAGAACTGACTCCTACACGTGATTCTCTGACCTCCGTAGGTATGCATGGCACATGTGCGAGCACACATACATTAATAAATGTAATTTTATTTTTTTACTTTTTGGTTTTTCGAGACAATGTTTCTCTGTGTAGCTTTGTGCCTTTCCTGGAACTCACTCTGTAGCCCAGGCTGGCCTCGAACTCACAGAGATCCACCTGGCTCTGCCTCCCGAGTGCTGGGATTAAAGGCATGTACCAGCACCACCCAGCTGTAATTTTAATTTTTTAAGATTTATTTTTGTATATGAGTGTTTTGCCTGCATGTATGTATGCACACCGTGTACTTACCTTTTGTCCATGGAGGCCAAAATGTTGCAGTGGATCGATCCCCTGGAACTGGAATTATAGGTGCCTGTGAGCTGCCATATGGAAACCAAACTTGGATCCTCTGCAGAAGCACCAAGTTCTGAGCAATCTCTCCAGCCCAGCCCAATAGAGAATATTTTAAAAATAAGACAGAAATAACAATTGTGTTAATATGTTTTAAAAATGAACAATACCGAAAAAAGTCAACGCAAACATCAAAAACATAAGCCTGCCATTTTTTCTTTAAGGATATGGTCCTTTATAGGTTGGCCATACTCCAGCAGATGGCCTCACACCCACGAGCACACAGGGAGCACCAACTGGACTTGGTGGGTAATGAAAAAGGCATGAAGTGGAGGGCTGTGGTGGGTGGACCTGGGAGGAAATAGAGAGAAGAGCAGGGGCAGTAAATATGATCAATAAATATTGGAAAAGGTATGAAAATTTAAAGACAATTAATTAAAAATATGTATGAATGACCTGTTACATGAGCATCTCTGTAATCGCAGCCCTTGTGTGGTGGAAGCAGGAAGATGAGGAGGAGATCAAGGTCATTTTCTACCTCATAGCAAGTAGGAGGTGGCCTGCACTACACGAGACACTGTCTCAAAAGCCAAAAGAAATATTTTTAAATTTAAAAAAATTGCTTCCTAGAATATGAAGCTGGAGAGATGGCTCAGCAGCTAAGAGCACTGGATGCTCATATGGAGGACCCAGGTTCAGTTCCCAGAACCCACAAGGCAGCTCACAATCATCTGTAACTCCAGTTCCAGGGGATCCATTACTCTCTTCTGCTCTCCTGGCCTCCGAAGGTGCACATGCTCACATGCAAGCAAAACACTCACACACATAAAATAATTAAAATAAGTATGTCTTTAAATTTTTTTAATGTTAAGGAATGAATATAAATGCAGTTTTTAGCTCTGAGAACATAGAGGCCAGGGAACCCCTGAAAACTACTGATGGGGTTGAAAATGAGCACAGCCATTGTGGACAAGAGTATCCAGATCCCTCAACAAGTTCAAAATACAAGTATCACATGATCAAACAACCTCACCCCTGAGTATATAACAAATGGAAATATAATCTGTATGTCAGAGACAGCTGAGCTTCCATGACGACTGCAGAACTGTTCACAGCTGTCCAGAAACTACAGGCAGCCTACATGTCTGTAAACTAAGGAACTAATGAAGAACACATATTACCTAACACTGTGCAATACTGTTCTGTCATAGGAAGGAGGAAATCTATCATTTGCATCAAAATGAATGGAACTAGTGAACATCATGTCAAAGGAGATACACCAGGCAGAGAAAGACAAGTGTGTGTGTGTGTGTGTGTGTGTGTGTGTGTGTGTGTGTGTGTGTGTGAATTCACTCGCATGTGCAATCTAGGGAAAGCAATCATGGAGACTGGAAGGGAAATGCTGAAGAGAAGGAAGAAGAGAAGGCAGGCTAGGGGAGGTTGGCCAGTAGATGTGAAGTTACAGTTAACCGGCATTAAAATGCTCTGGGTGATGTTGCATCATAGGGTGACTATAGATAACAGTTATGTCTTGTGTGCCTCAGACTTCTAGCAGGAAGATATTGAAAGTTTGACCTGAAGAAATAACAGATGATAAAGAGGTAGACATGTTTAACCTGATCTGAGCATTTCAATACATATATCGAAACAACACATGACACTCAACATTATGTACAATTCTTATGCGTTTGTGCATGAGTCAAAATTATATGGCACTTCAAGATGACAGTTTAATAAAATGCTTCTGCCGGGCGGTGGTGGCGCACGCCTTTAATCCCAGCACTCGGGAGGCAGAAGCAGGTGGATCTCTGTGAGTTCAAGGCCATCCTGATCTACAGAGCGAGATGCAGGACAGGCACCAAAACTATATGGAGAAACCCTGTCTTGAAAAACCGAAAGAAAACAAAAGCTTCTGAGTTTAGATGACAGGATGACTAGTGGTGACATTATGCTACTGAGGTTCCTTCCTCGAAATGAGACCAAGTTCTCAGCTTTCATTGCCTCCACTCAGCAACTGGGTTGGTGTTTCTTTGTATATCAGGAGACAATCAAAATATCCACAACAGTCAGAGACCTTAGAACTAAGGGAAGGCATTGTACAGACAGCCCAGTAGGAGGCACAGAAAAGTAGTGATCCATTGTTAAAATCTCAGTATTGAAAGGCAGACTAACAGAATATCAACATGTAGGCTGAAGGCTGGAAAAGCAACCTTCTGTGCTGAGCTCTGTGGATTTCATCATGGGTTCATTCTCCAGCACACACATGGGCACATACACACACATACAAGTAGCATGTAATCAAAATAAAATATATGCTTAGAAAACTTAAAACTACTTACATTACTCTTGAAATTAAAAGGAAATCAAAAATTGAAATTATAAAGTATATGCCAACAACAACAAAAACTAGTCTATATCAAAAAAAAAAAAAGGTAAAATACAGCCAAAGAAATACTTAGGGGAAATGAATAGATGTCAGTGTGTTTACTTGGGAAAAAAAAGCATTTTAAGTAAAAATTAATGCTACAAGTTTAAAACTATGTAAAAGCAGGGCCTGGAGAGAAGGGTCTGTGGTTGAGATCACGGGCTGCACTAGTCCGGTTCCCAGCACCCACATGGCAGCGCACAACGGCCTGCGTCTCCAGGGGATCTTATGCCCTCTTCTGACCTCCTAAGACACCATCAGCTGACATGGTGCACAGACAGGCAAAACATTCATACACATAAAATAATAAAATAAATAAATCTTTAAGAACTTTATAAAAGTGATTAAATAAATACCAAGTAAAATAAAGAGAATAAAAGTAAATGCATAAACTAATGAAATATAAAAAGGGGGTTTTTGGTGATGTGAGTAGCAGACAAGTCATCCTTGTTTCATGTCTAGTATCCTGCTATGAGTGAGTACATACCATGTTTGTCTTTCTGAGTCTGGGTTACCTCACTCAGGATGATTTTTTCTAGATCCATCCATTTGTCTGCAAACCTCATGATGCCATTGTTTTTCTCTGCTGAGTAGTATTCCATTGTGTATATGTACCACATTTTGTTTATCCATTCTTCAGTTGAAGGGCATCTGGGTTGTTTCCATGTTCTGGCTATTACAAACAATGCTGATATGAACATAACTGAACAAGTGCTCTTATGGTGTGGTTGAGCATTTCTTGGGTATATGCCCAAGAGTGGTATAGCTGGATCTTGGGGGAGATTGATTCCCAATTTTTTAAGAAAGCGCCATATTGATTTCCAAAGTGGTTGTACAAGCTTGCATTCCCACCAGCAGTGGAGGAGAGTTCCCCTAGCTCCACATCCTCTCCAGCATAAGGTGTCTTCAGTGTTTTTGATCTTAGCCATTCTGACAGGCATAAGGTGGTATCTCAGAGTTGTTTTGATTTGCATTTCCCTGATGATTAGGGATGTTGAGCAGTTCCTTAAATGTCTTTCGGCCATTTGAGTTTCCTCTGTTGAGAATTCTCTGTTTAGTTCTATAGCCCATTTCTTAATTGGACTGTTGGGCATTTTGATGTCTAATTTCTTGAATTCCCTATATATTCTGGATATCAGTCCTCTGTCAGATGTGGGGTTGGTGAAGATCTTTTCCCATTCTGTAGGCTGTCGCTTTGCCTTGTTGACCGTATCCTTTGCTCTACAAAAGCTTCTCACAGGACCCCAAGAAAGACACAGGGATCACCCAATGACAGAGAAATGGAATGAGATCTACATGAACAGCCTGGACATGAGTGGGGGTAATGAAAGGCGAGGGTTGAGGGAAAGAGAGCTTGGGGGAGCGGGAGATCCCAGCTGGATCAACAACAGAGAGGGAGAACAAGGAATAGGAGACCATGGTAAATAAAGACCACATGAGAATAGGAAGAAGCAAAGTGCTAGAGAGGCCCACAGAAATCCACAAAGATACCCACACAACAGACTGCTGGCAGAGGTCGAGAGACAGCCTGAACTGACCTACTCTGGTGATGGGATGGCCAAACACCCTAATTGTTGTGCTAGAAACCTCATCCAACTACTGAGGGATCTGGATGCAGAGATCCATGACTAGGCCCCGGGTGGATCTCTGGGAGTCCAATTAGCGAGAATGAGGAGGGTTTATATGAGCGAGAATTGTTGAGACCAAGGTTGGATAAAGCACAGGGACAAATAGCCAAATGAATGGAAACACATGAACTATGAACCAATGGCTGAGGGGTCCCCACTGGATCAGGCCCTCTGAATGGATGAGACAGTTGATTGGCTTGATCTGTTTGGGAGGCATCCAGGCAGTGGGACCAGATCTTGTGCTCATTGCATGAGTTGGCTGTTTGAAACCTGGGGCCTATGCAGGATTGTTTGGCTCGGCCTGGGAGGAGGGGACTAGACCTACCTGGACTGAGTCTACCAGGTTGACCTCAGTCTGTGGGGAAGGCTTTGCCCTGGAGGAGATGGGAATGGGGGGGGGGTTGGGGGGAAGGTGAGGGGGACGGGAGGGGGGAGAACAAGGGAATCCGTGGCTGATATGTAGAACTGAATTGTATTGCAAAATAAATTAATAAAAAAAAAAGGGGGTTTTTTAACACCAGTATGCTCAAAAGTATAAGCAATGGGTAAGTAATACATGGGGGAGGGGTGACAGAGACTAGGGGCATTTTTAATTTAGAGAAGTTACTATATAAAATTTGAAAATACAGATAAAATGTGTGATTTTATAAATGAAATTTAACAGGACAAATTGTCCCAAGAAGTAGAATCCCCAAGTCGGCTGAGGAGAGAGTCAGCCAAGCGCCCACACTTCAAAAACCCTTAGATAGGAGGAGCCCAAGTTTAAGACCAGCCTGTACCACATGGGGAGATGCTTCTTAAAATTTACTTCATACTGGGTGTAATGGTTCACACCTTATTCCCAGCACTCTGAGAGGCAGAGGTAGGAAGATCTCTGGGAACTTTGGGCCAGCCTGGTCTACATATAGAGTTTAGGCCAGCTGGGGCTACATAGTGAGACCTTATCTTGAAACAAAACAAAACAACTTAGTTATTTAATTATAATAAAATGAGTCTTGGGGCTCAGATAAGGAACAAGTTTTCCCATACTACCCAAACTATTCCTGAGCACAGGAAACATGGATGCTGGTTCTTGTTCATCGTAAGGTTGGTATAATTGGGCAAAGACAGCACAAGACATGAAAGTTCAAGGCCAACTTTATCTCACAAATACTAGATACAGAGCCGAGAGATGGTCTAGAGATTAAGAGTATGGACTGCTCTTACAGTGGATTCAAGTTTGGTCTCCAGCACCCACATCAAGTGGCCAGGGGTCAGATGCCTCTGGC